TGGGGGGAGGGAGAAGGCATGTCACAGCTGCATCACATGTCATCCTTCTGCCTTCCTGTGGATCTGGCTTTGCCCTTAGCATTCCAAGATGCCGTTTCACACTTGGTGGAGCTCAAAGAGGGCCAGCAAGGCTCAAGGTCTTCTGGCTCTGGTCTCAGGCTCTTTCCAAAGAGGGGTCCCACCCGGCCTCCCAGCCCCATGTCTGAACCGTGGGCCCCGAAGCTGGACCTGTTGATTCATAATCTCTGGGGTGTCGTAGTATCTGCATGGTTATTAACGTCCCACTTGAGTTGGAGAACCCTTGACTTGGAGAAAGAGAGAAAATGACAGAGGGGGAGCGAGAGAAAAGGAAACAGAAAGAGAGCAAAAGTCAATCTCCACAGCCAGCATGGTGGTGCTGCCAGGGGTGGGGAACAATCAGGCTCTGTCCATCTCCCTCCACCCCCAGGCTCCCATCGGCTTTCATCACTGACCTAACCCAGGGGGCAGAGCACTAGGTGGGGGTGGGGAGGAGGGAAGGTCAGGGGTCAGCCCATTACATGCCAAGCAGAGCCAGGAATAGAGCCACTTTGGGGGTGGCTGGGGAACTCGGGGGCCCCATGCAAGCCCACATCCCACCTCTAGCCGGAGGCAGCAGACTGGAGGAGGCAGTTGAGAAGAGAGAAGGGAGCTACCCACGTAATGAGTGTGTCTCCATCAAAGCTAGGAATGGGTTTCTGGAAGGATGCAAATGCCTTAGAGTGATGCTAATCCCCCTCCTCACCCACTGCTGCCCCAGTGGGAGAGGCTTCCCTGTCCCTGGGGAGATCTGGCTCCCACCAGAACAGGGCTCCTTTCTGCCTCCCCAGCCCAGCTTCCCCACTTTGCTTTGGACTTGGGGGAGGGGGAGGCAATGCCCCCACCTGTACGCCAGGCTTCTCTGGCTCCCTCAGTTGTAGCCTGTGTGCTCCAGCCAACACATCAATCTGACTGCTCTGTCCCGCTTTTGCTAGTCTCCTGTGGCTCCTCAGTGCCAGACTGGTAGAATCAGGGGTCCTGATTCTGAAATTGGAGGCCTCCACCATCTCTGACCACTGCCTGGTCTCTGGGCTCCTGCTCCCGGTGACAGTTATTCATTCATTCATCAGATATGCATTGGATGTTCTACGTGCCAGGCACCATGCCAGGGCTTGGCAATAGAGGTGTGACCTAACCAGGCCAGGTTCCTGCCCTCAGGGAACTTGCAGTTTGGAGAGACAAAGAAGCTGGTGAACACGCCGACAAACAAATGTGTAACCCCAGACTGTCAGGCGGGAGATGAGCGGATGTTCTGAAGGAGATTAGCCAAGGGCTATATTTTTTTGCTGGTGCTCACAGAGGACTTCCTGGAGAAGTGACATGTAAGTAGAGATGGATGAAGTGAGGGAGTGAGCATACCTATGGGAAAAATGTTCCAGGCAGGGGGAGCTATAAGAGTAAAGGCGTGAGGTGGAAACATTTCAGTGTGTTCCAGGAACAGCAAAAGGCCAGAGGCCCTGGAACAGAATGTGAACAGGGAGGAAGGGTGGGGCCATGTGCTGGAGGAGCAGCCGGGCCCTGATCTGTAGGTCAGGACCTGGGGGTTATCCTGCGTGTGAAGGGAAGATGTTGGAGGGGTTTGGGCAGGGAGGGTAGAGGTCTGACTTAAATTTAAAATCAACTCTCGGGCTCTTAGGATACCCATTTTACCCACAGAGACCAAAGCTCAGAGAGGTCAAAGGAGGTTTCCAGGGTCACACAGCTGCCACGGAGCCAATGCTCTGTCCAGTCCACCCACTGGCTCCCATGAGTCCATGGCCATGCCTCTTCCCACTGGGCTCCCCTTTTATTTGCGGGCCTTCCCAAATGCTCTGAAGTGGAGGATGTTAATGGGTCAGTGCCTGCCTCTCCCACTCCCGTGAGCTCTGGCAGGGCAGGACCTCGCTTTTCTAGTTCCCTGATGTTGAAATGCTCACTACATGTTGGCTGCTAGTATTACTGCTATTATCTGTTTACTTTTAAAACTCATGCTCTGAATATCTATGATGATGATGAATTGAACTGAATTCCACCCACCCACCCACCCACCCCTGGTTCCTTGACCTTTACAGGGGCCTGTGATGCCAGCAGTGAGTCAGTGAGGAGTCAGGCCTCGTGCCAGGGCAGCACTGAGGGGTGGGCATGTCAGGCACAGCTCGGCAGGCATGAAAGCAGCCTCACTCATCGCCTACAGACCACAAAGACTCGTCTCCCCAGCAAGCCCTGAGCTAGGCGGGGCAGTGACAATGACAGGAGTGGAAAAGGTGGGGAACTCTGGTGCCCCAGAGGTTTTTCTCCCAATGGCCACTGGGTGGCAGCACTTCCCCAGGAATACGGGGTTGAGGGGGGTCAGCTTCTCTTGATTGAATCTGAGGCTAGGAGCCCCAGGGTTGGAAACTAGGAGGGAACCTACGTCCAGAGAGCAGCTGGGACTTGCCTGGGGTCATACAGCTTTCAGTGTCCGGGTTGGGTCACCTGCCTGCCTGGACAGACTCGGGCAGGGGGAGTGGGCCAGCGAGTAGTTCTTCCTGTGTTCTGGCCAGCATTTGGTGGTGGCCTCATCATGCCTGTCATTGCCCTCGCTGCCTGTGTCCCCTGCCATACTGTGATTCTCTGAGGACAGGGGACAGTGCCTTTACCCACTGTTGCCTGCACCAGCTATGTCCTCTTCTTTGGTCACCTTACCCGTCTTCTTGGCCCAGGTCCCACCAGCACCTCCTTCAGGGCTCAGCTGAGATGTTTCCTCCAGGAAGCCTTCCCTGGCCTTTGGCCTGGGCAGAAGCCCCTCCTCTGGGCCCTAAAACATTCTGGTTCCTCCCGGATGGGGAGGCCCCCAGGCAAGAATCATTGGTGTACCTGAACGGGCCCACCCTGAGAATATACAGACACTGTACATTCTGAGCCTGTGACCCAGTGGTCCTCAAATTATAGTAGGTATTGAAGCCACTCACAGAGCTTTGTGAAATGCAGCCTCCAAGATCCCCCCTTTCCTGGAGACTCTGATCTAATAGATCTGAGACACAGCCCAGGAGTCTGCATGGGAGATACTCCCCTGGCAAGTCTGATGCAGGGGCCTGAGCATCCTTAGGTCCTTTAAGTGTGCCATCGGTCCTGCCCTCTGCAGCAGTTGGGCAAAATGATTATAACGATGAATGATAATAAAACCCTCTGATATTTGTGCCAAGTGAATCACCCTGGAGGCACTTTCACACCTGTTTATCCTTTGTATCTTCATCTTTACAATTTCTATCTTTGGAGGGAATCATCATCCTGATTTTACAGGTACCCACCTCAGAGGCAAAGGTCGACTTGCTCAAGAACCCCCAGGTCTGAAACAGTAGAGCTTGGATTCGAGCTGGGGCCATCCCAGCATAATTGATTGCCAAGTGAGTGAGCCAAATAACAACTGTTTTAGGAGCTCAGAAAAAAAAAAAAGCAAGATTTGTGAGCCAGGATTGTCTGGTAAGGCTGCCTGAAAGAGGTAGATTAGAGCTGGGTGTGGAAGACGGAGAGGACACGGCAGAAAAGAGGGATCTGGGCATCTCATCCTCACCTGGGAAGAGGGGACTGGAGTGGGCTGGGGAGTCAAGAGGCTTGAGTGACATCTGTGTCATGTGAATTGTTTACAAAACACTCACACCTGTTTCTCCTTTTTATCTTGACCTTCACAAGTACCTTTGGGAGAATCGTTGTCCCCAGGCTACAGATACTTAAAGCTTAGGGTCAGGTAGTGACTTGCCCAAGATCCTCCAGCTACAAAATGGCAGAGTCAGGGCATGAGCTAGGGCTACTGTGAGGTGGAAGAACCACAGTCCATGTTAAATTATCTGGGTCTGGAAACTGCTCATTTTTAAAATCGAAATTCTGGTCTGCAAACAGGGCTTGGAATTTCCAGCCCTAGCTCTGCTACTGACCATCTGGGAGACAAGGGGCAGTGCCTCTCTGAGCCTCAGTTTCCTTACCTGCACAATGTGGCTGACAATATGTGTTCTCCTCTCACAGGGTTAAGGTGGACTTTGAAATCCTGTGAAAGTGATCTGGACTGCAGAGCAGTGGGTACTTGAGAAAGGCATTGCTATTTGTGGCATTCTGCACAACTGCTGAGACTTGGATTAGCTCCCTAAGGAGGGGTGGGGTGGGGCTCCCATCAGGCCATGGGATTTGTGGATAATATCCTTCTGCATCTCTCCTTCCTCTGCTGCCCCTGGGAGGAAGGTGGACAGGCCTGGACCCATGCTGTCTGAATGAAGCAGATGCCAGATCTGGGGCTCTGGGAGCACCAACCACCTCCAGGGAACCCACTTTACACAATATCAGTGGCAGCAGAGGTTGGCGGGGAGATCTGGACTCTTCAACTGGGGAGCACTGATGGCGTTTCCTCAGGTACTTGGGAGCTGTGACCCTCAGTGGGACCCCAGGGGAGCTGCTCCTCAGAACTAAGGAAGGAGATGGGATGTGAGGAGTCTTTCACCAAATACCATAGGAAGCATCTGCTTCAATGTTCTTAGTTTGCATTTGGAGAAAGGAGGGACGTATAGTTAAGGGAAGGGAATCGAATCTGTCATTAATAGCAGAGCCACTGAACACAGGTGTGCAGGTGTTAGAAGGGCACTGGGGTAGAAGGAAGGAGTCTCACAGTCGAGATCTGGATCTTACACCAACCGTGCGTGGCTCTGGACAAAATCTCTTGCTTTCTCTGGCACTTAGTTTCCTGGTCTGCACAACTCAGATTAGGCTGGCAGCTCGGACACTGTCATTCTATTAGAGGAGTCACAGCACCCCAGGACGGGTTGCTGAAAGTGTGAAAGGGAAAGTGTCAGGGTTTGTAGTTCACTGAACCTTGCGTAAGGTCTCCCTAAAGATGCTTCCGTTGCCACGGCAACTGGCCCAGCTGCTTGGTCCCCGGAGTCCCGCTGAGGAAGCTGGGAAGAACCCTGCCCTTACCAAGATGGCGGCGGCCACAGGGCAAGGGGCGGGGTTGAGCGTCGTCGGCCTGTCCAGGCCTTTACTCTGTTTCCGCTTTTTCATGATAACGGGGAGCTTCCGTCAATACTTGTTCTCTTTCCTAGTTCTGGGAGCCCCGGGAGTCAGGGAGGGAAAGGCCGCTTGCAGGGATCGGGGCAAATACCCAGGGCGGGGAGGCGGGACTTCCGCGTCCCTCCGGAAGTGACGCGATAGTCGCGGCCGCCGACAGGTGGACCGGCAGGTGGGTTCAGGTGCCAGCCTGGCCCAGACCGGCTGTGGGATCGACGCTTCCGGTGAGCGACAGAGGCAGCTCCCAAGGGCCTGGAGACCCGTGGGTGCGGGCTCTCGAATCTGAGCTCCTCGCCCTAGCCTGGATCCCCCACTGTACCTAGTAAGAATCACCTCCCCCCACACCCCTAACCCGGGGGCTACCCCTATCTGTCCGAAGGAGAAGTGGGGGGGGGGCTTTCTCAGATCGCCGGGGTTGGGGTTGGCATTTCGGCACTTTGGCTCCCTAAACCGTGAACTCTTTTCTCTCCCGGATACAGTTCCCCATACCCCTGCCGAGCTGGGCAGTTAGCCAGCCCACCGAAACTCTCGGAACCATGTTTGCAGACTTGGATTATGACATCGAAGAAGATAAACTGTGAGTATTTTGTTACCTCAAGTCCCAGGAGTGCAGGAGCCCCAGGTCCCTCAGGTCCCTGGACTTCCCAGTTCCACAGACCCTTGCTTTTCAGCAGGGGATTAGGTGTTGTACTGTAGCACAAATGAATCCTGCCCTTCTAGGAGCTTACCATCTGTAGGGGGCTGTGGACACTTTGAAGCATAATTGCAATGCAGGGCCATAAGGGCTAATGGAGAATGACCAGGCTACAAGGAGAGCAGAGCAGACAGAGCAGTGCCTCTGCTGGGGTGTTCAGGGAAGGCTTCACAGAGGAGGTGGCAGCTGACCATGTTTTGACAGATGAATAGGAATATTATAAACATAACTTCCTCCCCAGCACAGATGATTAATGGACAGATTTTCAAAAATTAAGTTAGTCTCCTTATTAGAATATATCCTCCCTCAGAGCAAGGACTGGGTCCAGTGCCTTTCCATGTCCTCAGCACTCAGTATGGTGCTCCACATCAGTAGGTTGTTTGTCGAGTGAATAACAGAATAAATGAGACTACCACAAAACATACATAAATGCTAATTTATAGTGAAAACTGAGAGGTAATTGAGTACAGCAACTGAGAGATGGGTGATGGATAGTTTAACAGGAGAGGGCTTCCTGGAGGAGGTGACCATACTGTTACATATTTGCCTGAGAAGGTGACAAGGACAGAGTCTGACTCAGATCTTAGAGACAGAATGAAGGAAAGGGAAGGGGGACCTATTTTTTTGGAGTACCTGCTCTGGGCTATGTTGGCGTTAAGTGCCTTCTGTGTACTTTCTTACAAGAACCTTAATAAAGTAGCCATTTTACGAATGAGGAGACTGAGATGCAGAGAGGGTGACTTACTCATCCAAGTCCCACAGCTGATAAATGGCAGAGTTGGGATTTGATCCTTCATCGGCTTGACTCCGAGTGCTCTGTGTGTTCCAGCACAAAATGCTGTCTTATGGGCCAAGTGAGAAAGAGAAAAGGCTTGCAGCATTGGGAGCCTCTTGGGGGTTTTGGAGGGCCTATCCCGGTCCCTGTCCCCTCCAGTCATCCCTCCTCCAGGAGACTCAGCCTCACATGCTTTTCTCTAGTGGAATCCCTACTGTGCCTGGGAAGGTGACCCTGCAGAAGGATGCCCAGAACCTGATTGGGATCAGCATTGGAGGAGGAGCCCAGTACTGTCCCTGCCTGTACATCGTCCAGGTACTGAGTGCTTTGGAGGTGGGAGGGAGGTGCTGGAGGGGGCGAGCCACCTCCCAACTTGGGCATGTCAAAAGTTTATTTCTCCACTCTGCATGGCTGGCTCCTTTTCATTCTTGAGGTCTGACCTCTTCAGAGAGGCCTCCCAGATACCCCTCTCAGTAGGTCTACCCTCACTGTCTGTACTAATGGATTTGCTCGTTAGTTCTGTATGTAGCTGCTTTTCCAGACTCTCTGCACTGTGAGGGCAGGATCTCGGTTTGCTTTTCACTGCAGTCAGCACCGAGTACAATGCCCGGCATATAGTGGACCTTCAATAGAAATGTCCTCAATGAGTCAACAAAACTGTCAGCCTTCCATACTCTCACAAGTGAAGTGTAGTGGAAAGACTAAAAGACTGTGAAATGATAATGGTCTGACTTCAAATGCAAGCTTCCCAGCTTGTTAACAAGTTACTTAACCTCTCTGGCCTCAGTGTCCTCCCCTGGAAAGTGGGGATGTAAAATATGGAGATCTAAGCATCTTTGGGTTGTTGTGGAGATTAAACAAAGTGACATAACACAAGGCCCAGCCCTTAAGCATCAGTCACTCAATAGCAGCAGCTGTTGTTTTTACTGCAGTTCACTTTCCCAGATGACCTGCCAGTGGTACTGACCAATTCTGTGGTCCTTATAGAGGAGGCTGCCCTGGCGATACTCTGTCAGCTGTGACTCAGGAGTGGGGACCAGCCTCCTTTACTCTATGGCTGGTTGGAGTTGGCGATCTTTCTGTAGCTTTGGAAGGAAGCCTGCCACCTCAGACATAAACTTGACCTAGATTTTTACCTGTTCTAACCTTCTCAGCTTAGTGGCCATTGGTGGCAGATGGGAAATTGCAGCCTCTCTGAGGATCTTGCAAAAGAGTCACTTCTAAGGCCTTGAAGACAGATTCCCTGGGTCTAGTCTTGCTTGCTCAGGGTGTGGCCTTTGTGAGCTTTTTGGCCTCCTCTGACCCAGGAAGTGTTAGCAAGGCCTCCCCCAGGCTTCTGTCTGCTCAGCCCCTCCTGCCACCTCCCCTACCCCACCTGCTAGGGACCAGGTTTGTGGTATAAATTGCAATTATAAAATAATCGAATTGATCGTTTTTTAATTTTTTAAAAATTTAAAAAAATTTTATTTTTAATGTTTTTGGGGGGCAGGTAATTAGGTTTATTTATTAATTTTTTTTAATGGAGGTACTGGGGATTGAACCCAGGACCTTGTGCATTCTAAGCACACACTCTACCACTGAGCTATACCCTCACCCCTAGAATTGAGTTTTAAAAATTAAATTTTACTTTTAGCAAAGACTGTCTGCTTTGCTTTGAACAAGTCAGGGGTACGAAAAAGTCAATGTCAAATAAGCAGTCCATTGCTCTACCCTTTCTCACTGCCCTTCCCCCACCCTACCCCCACCCCAGTCCCAGCAGCAACGCTGCTTTCTACCCTTTTGGCTGTTTATTCAGGTATGAGCTCTCATTTTTCTCAGTAAGATGCTTATCCTGTTATTTCTTGATCTATTGCTTGCAAGCATCTGTCAGCTTTCGTCAGTCCAGGAGATGAGAATTTAGCTTTATTTTGAAACCACTCAGCCTCCTCTCACTCCATCTTCCCAACATAGTTATCTTGTAAATTTTGGTTAAATCAATATCAGTGCAACAGATATATTGGGGAAATATTTTCTGAGGGCCTGGCCAGGCTCTTCTATAGGCACTAGAAAGTTCTTTCTTTCTTTCTTTTTTTTTTTTAACATTTTTTTATTGAGTTATAGTTGTTTTACAATGTTGTGTCCAATTCTAGTGTGGAGCACAATTTTTCAGTCATACATGAACATGTATATATTCATTGTCACATTTTTTTTTCGCTACGAGCTACCACAAGATCTTGTATATTTTTCCCTGTGCTATAGAGTATAATCTTATTTATCTATTCTGCATTTTAAAATCCCAGTCTGTCCCTTCCCACCCCCCACTCCCTTGGCAACTACAAGTTTGTATTCTATGTCTATAAGTCTGTTTGTTTTGTATTTATGTTTTGTTTGTTTGTTTGTTTTAGAGATTTCTGATCAAGAAAAGATAAGAAAACTTTCTTATTTCTTAGCAAGAAAACAGACGCCACCCTCAAAGAACTCTAGAATGGTAACATGCTGTTTTGCACACTGAGCTTAACAGTCTACTGTGGTTGTGCTTTTAAAAAAATATTTTTATTGTGAAATTCACATAACATACAATTAGCGTTTTAAAGTATACAATTCAGTGGCATTTAGTGCATTCACTAAAAGCAGCCACCACCTCTCTTTAGTTTCAGAACTTTCTCATCACCCCAGAAGAACAGCTCATGCCCTTTGAGTAATCACTTGTTGAAGTTCATTCAAGTTACAGCTGGTTTCAATACTTCACCCTTTTCCTGGCTGAATAGCATTCCATTGTATGGCTAGACCACCATTTGTTTATTCACTCATCTGTTGATGGACATTTGGGTTGTTTGTACCTTTTGGCTGCTATGAATAATAACACTGTTGTAAACATGCAGGTACAGTTTCTCTGGACATGTGCTTCCATTTCTTTTGGGGTGGAATTGCTGGGTCATATGATTACTCTTTAATTTTTTGAGGAGCCTGTGTTTCTTCTAACTCAATTCTTCCCCGCCCATTTTTTTTTGAGTAATTTGTTGTTTTTTACATTTGCATTCTCCCTGTATTTTAAGTTCATTTTCCTCAGTCAGACATTTCCCATCATCTTTCTGTCCCTACCCTTATGTAGTCTTTCCTCTTTGAACCTCCCCTGCCCTCTCCTCCACTGGATTCCCCCATCTCCAGGATCCCTCTCTCTTGGCTTACTCCCCCATCTTGGTGGAGCCCATCTTCTGTAGCTTTGTGAGAAAGGCTGCGTGGGAGGAGGTAAATTTTTTGAGATCTTGTATCTCTGAAAATACCATTATTTTGTCTTTTTGTTGTTATTCTCATGTTTCTTTCAGTTGATACCTGAGTGGATCAAATTCAAGAATGACTGTCAACTTTGAAAATCATTTCCATTTAGAAATTTGGTGGCATCATTTCATTGTCTTTTGCCAATAGCAGTGTTGTCATGTCTGTTGATGTCAGTCCTACTTGTGATCTTTTATTTGTAGTGTCATTCTTGATCTGTCAAGACTCTTAGGCACTTCTTTTTGTCCCTGGCTTTCTGAAGTGTCTTGGCATGAGCCTTTCTCTGTCTGTTGTGCTGGAGCCTCAAAGGGCAGGTTCATCAGGGGAACCCCGTGTTTTCTCTTCTGTGAAAGTCTCACGTGTGATCTCTGATGATGTCCTGGTCGCTGTGTTCTCTGTTCCCTCCTGTGGAACTCCAATTGGTTAAATGCTGGGCTTCCTGAATTGACCTTCTAATACTCTTTTTCTTTTCTTCTGGTTGCCAGTCTCTTTTCCACTTTCCTCTGCTGGGTTCCCAAAGCTGCTGTGGCACTTTACATTTCAATTATGTTCTGCATCTCTAAGAGGTCTCTCCTGTTTTCGAATTGATCCTTTTGCATCATCCTGTTCTTGTTTTTCAAATCACTGTGAAGATGTTCATTATGGTTTTCTTTTTGTTTTTGTGTTGTCCCTGCTTCGTTTCTGTTTCCTGTGGTTCCTTTTTTCTCTTTGAATGTTTGGTGTTTTCCACATGGGGTGGTTTTTCAAGGGCCCAGTATTTCTTATCTGTCTTTACATTTAAGCATGAGCCCTCACAGTTACCTCAGTGCTTTTAAGTTCTGTGTCCTGGCCCTGTCAACTGGTGGGTTCCACTGTGGGGCTTTCACACAGAGAGGCCTTTCCTGTGGAGCCATTCTGGGCCAGATCCTCCCTCTAGGCTCCTGAGGGGAAGGGCGGTGAGCCTGGTTGCTGGCGGTCTAGGGGCTTATGGGGGTTAAGGGGCTGTGGGACTCATTGTTCAATGTGTAAACAGCTCCGAACCCTTAACTGCTTCTGTCCAGTGCTTCACCCCCATCTCCCTCGTCCCTGGGCCCCAGAGTTGGGGGCTTCTCTGAGGAATAAACCTCTGTCTTCCCCAGAGACAGAGTATGGAGGGCTGTGTGGGTGAGGAGGGAGCCTGGACTTGAGTCCATCCCCTTACTTTCTATACCTTGCCTTCCACCCCACTAAGGATGTTTCCAGAAGTCAGCTTCTGGTGTAACCTCTGCACACACTTGTGTAGACAGTTCTTCCCTTGCCCTGAGCGTTCCCCCACACATCTATCCTTTGTCAGACACATTGACCTCACTCAGCCAGTGAGGGCAGACCCCGTGGAAGGAGTCACCTTGGGGGAAGGGGCTTACATGTGCAGTGGGTGGTGGGTCCCCAAGGGGATGGAGAGTAAGTGCAGGAACTGATAAGAGGTGCTTTGGGGCTCCGAGTCAGCACAGAGCAGCATTGTTGGGGAAATCTAAAGAAATAGCTTTGGAGGAGTAAACACTCTGATGGGCGTGTAAGGTTTGGTATATTTGAGATCAGAAAAGGAGGGTCTCATCAGTCACATTTACCTCTGGCCCTCCTTCCCCTCCCCCAAGAACACAGGGTCATTCATTTCTGGCTGCTCAGGCACTTTCTACCCTGCCCTTCTCCAGCATCGCTTAAGAGATAGAGGTAGAGCCCAGGACAGAGCCGGGTACCAATTAGGGTGGAGGGAATGACTGTCCCCCACCAGGTTTCTTCTCAGTTTTCCTTTCCTCCCCCTTCCACCCTCCTTTTGCATCCACAGGTGTTTGACAACACCCCAGCAGCGCTGGACGGCACCGTAGCAGCCGGCGATGAGATCACTGGTGTCAATGGCAGATCAATCAAAGGAAAAACTAAGGTGGAGGTGGCCAAGATGATTCAGGAGGTGAAGGTATGAGCTGTTGTGGGAGTGGGAACACGGAGGCACTTCTGAGACCTCCAGCCTGCCAGAGGCCCCTGCAGGCCTAGAAGGGAACTGGCCCTTTCACAGCTCCCCTCTGGGGAGCATCAGGGTCTGGGTCACACCGCTGCCTCCCTCGGTTTCTTCCGGGTTCATTCAGTAAATGTTAATTATACTCCAGGACTTGGGCTGGGCCTGGGTGGGAAAGTGGGCACCAAGTCCAAAAGGTCCCTGTCCTCAAGCTCCCAGGAGAGCTGTCAGACTCGGAACCACACCGCAGGGTGAGCCAGTGTGTCCCCTGTCAGGGCTGCAGTGGAAGTTCGGAATCCAAGGTGAACCTCTCTGGGTCGGTAGACACCTGGGAGATGTCCACTGGGCCATGCGGGGCCCAGGAGGGTGTCAGAGGGAAAGGGGAGCCCCCACCTCTATCCCTGTGGGAACTTTCAGTGCAGAGGGTCCACTGGGCTCACACCCCCCCAGGGACTCTTCTGGGCCTTGGGGCAGCTCCCAGTCCTGCAGACCACAATCACACACTGCCTGTTCCTGCTTCCCCTCCCCACCCCCACTGCTCCAGGCCGTGGCCTCTCCCTGCAGGGCCCCCATCTCTCCGTGAATGGCAGGCAGCATCCCGGCCATGCACGGAAGCAGGCAGCCCCTTTGCCATGTCCTAGAGATTTTGCTGCTAGTGATTCTTGGGAAAGCAAAACAGTGAAGGAGGTGCAAAGTCATAGGATGTTTAAAAGTCTGAGAGTCAAGAGTCCCAACTGTCCGTTGAGCTTGGCCGAGTGTTTTAGCTCCCTCACCTCAGCCATCTAAACCTCTCCTCACCTCCCATCCATCCTCTGTCTTAAGGGCCCGATACCAGCATCCGTTACAGTCCCTCTTTCTTACCTTAGCCCAGGGCCAGCAGCTTCCACCTTCTCCCCTTTATTCTCCTCTTCTGCTCCACCTGGCCTGGAATTTACTGTCCCAGGCATTTCCTGTTGGGCAGAGGAGCTCATCACGGAAGGTGGTGGACCATGTGTTTCATTCTGGTACAGAACGAGGGTGCACATGCCCCGCCTGGATCCCCTTCCTCATCCCCCCATTTCTGCTCGTCAGAATCCTCATCTTCCAAGGCATATCTCGTGCCAGCCCCTCAGGTTGCCCATGAGGACAGGAGCTCTTCGTGTGTGCACAGCCTTGCCGTTCGCAGGGATCTCCCCACGGGTTATGGCCCCTGTTTTGCCAGTACCCAGAGAGAGGGGAGGGTTTGCTTGTGATCTGACAGCTGGTATGACTCCCACTGCAGTGCTCCTTCCATTACCCTCAGCTGCTCCCGGTGGCGGTCCCTGAGGACCCTGCGCTGCAGCCTGAGAGCCTTTTGCATCTACCCCTGACTGACTGCATCGGGCCACTTTGATTTCCCTTCAGGACTCAATTTGAAATCCTGTGTTGTACTTGAATGGGTTCAGTCCCAAGTTCAAGGGTCTTAGGATTTCAAGAACAAGAGCAACCGTGGTAGCCTCACGTGGTCAGGGAAGGCTTCTGGGGAGAAGCCGGCACCTCCCTTCCCATCACTAGACTGAGATTTGTGTAATTCCCCGTTTGCATCGGCCTCCCTTGCTGGCCTCGGGCCCTGGGGGCTGAGGCTGCCCTGCACCTGCTCTCTGGCGTCCCAGCAGCAGGCACAGAGAAGGTACTCAGACGTGTTTGTGGACTGAATGGAGGGACTCCTGAGGATGGGGATGATTTTGAGGATACTCTCACAGGAGAGGATACTCCGTGTGGTGAGAAAAATGAGGTAGCAGGGGTTTGGGGTGTGGCTATGGTGCGGGGGAAGGCAGGGGTGCCTGGTCTGGCTGGGGCACAGGACATCAGAGACTACCAGACGGTGAGCTCTGTGACAACTGGGACCATGTCAGTCCTTATCCCTGCTGATTCTCCAGGGCTTGGCACGTAGTGAGAGAAGGAGGGACCTGGGAGCAGATTGGTCACTATGCAGGGCCCTGCCCTGGCAGGGCTGAATTCACAGCCACTCTGGCCCTTCCCCAGGGCTCAGGATGCTCTCATGACCAGAGACTGTAGGGCAAACAGGCCTCCCCAGGAAAAGGACTTGGGGTCTGGGGGGCTCCGTCACAACTGCTTATTCTGCTTTTCCAGGGGGAGGTGACGATCCACTACAACAAGCTGCAGGCAGATCCCAAGCAGGGCATGTCCCTGGACATTGGTAAGCTGGGCCGGAGCAGTGGTGTCCAATGGCCCCACAAGCCCCTGCTCGGCCTTTTTATGACAATGCACCAGCAGCTGTGGTCTGGACTTTTCTGACCAAGCCAATCCAAGGGCCTGGGGAGACTCAAAGTGCTCTCCCTGTGGCTGGTCCCGGGAACCTATCCCTGCCCTGTGTTTCTTCCCCTTTCCCCAGCCACCTCTTCTGGGACCATGCTGTCCTACGGTTGTCCTTTTCAGGCCAGCCTTCCAGCTCACCATGCCCAGCCCCTCATCCTTCTGAAAGGGAGGGTGGCCCAGCCCTGGCACCTATGCCCACCTCCACACCTCCCCTCGGCCCTGGCCTTTTCTTTCACCCACTTGCTCCCAGGAAGGCTCAGGGTCTGAACTGGACCTCAGGTTTTGGGCAGAGAGTCACATTGCCTTCTGTTAGGAAAGCTGGGCCTTGGTTCTTTAGAAGCTTCAAGACTCAAGAGCTGGATAGTAGCTTCGAGGTCCTCTGGACCAGCCACCTCATTCCAGATCAAGGCCTGAGACTCAGAGAGGCTCTGTGTCCCCTGGGTAAATGCATACCCAGATCTCTGGGGTCCAGCACCCTTTCCCTATGCTCTTGGGCCAGAGCCACCTCCTAGTTTTTAAGGAAAGAGGCTAAGTGCAGATGGAGTCTATCCTGAAGGTTCTTCCTCTAAAACCCTTGGGTTCCATCCCAGTCCCCGTCCAAGGACTGGGTATGTGACCGTGTGTGTAGTAACTGAGCCTGGAGCCTGAGGCCAGTTGTCATTGACAGTGCCTCCGCTCCTGGATGTGAGAGAGATGGAGAAGAGGTTCTCTTTGGTTGGCCTGACGGCCCTATCAAACCTGGGCAACTCTGGGGTCTCAGTGGTAGCCGGCAGCTACTTCGAGTGCCAGGCCCTTGGTTAGGTGCTTTACATGTTCACCTTCCAGGTTCTCAACACCTGTCTGAAGTGGACAGTGAATAGGGCAGGGGGCCAGAACCCCAGTTTGGGACACTCCCCACTTCAGTCACCCTCACACCAAACCCCAGTTCAGCCCCTTCTGCCCCTGGGGTCATTCCCAGTGAGTGGTGATGGGGGCAGGGATGGCCGGGGCCCCAAACTCCACCTCACTGAGTCCCCTTCTCACCTGGTCCCAGTGTTGAAGAAGGTGAAGCACCGGCTGGTAGAGAACATGAGTTCGGGGACCGCAGATGCTCTGGGCCTGAGCCGGGCCATCCTGTGCAATGGTGAGTCCCCTCCTCCCACCCACCTCTGGTCCCAGGGGCCTTAGGCCTAGGCGTCCAGGGGGAGGGGCACCACGGCTGCCCACCAAGCTGACGTGGGGCCCTCAGACCTGGGCCTGGCCTCTGCTTGTGGGGCCAATACTCACCATCTCTTTGTATCCCTGAGGCCTATCCATCTCCCAGAGGGCATCCACAGTGGTCAGCTGAGGCATCTTACAGCCAGTGTCCCCACTCCCGAGCAGGGATTCACAGGCTCAGGTCATAGATGAGGAAACAGAGTCACAGTGGAGAGGTGCCTCCTGCTGGCTCCCTGAGCTGGTGCCTTCGCCACTGCCCCAGCTGCTCTCCCACAGCCAGGCCTCGGCCCCTGCCCCGGTGCCCCGCTCCCAGCCTGTTTTCTCACCCCAGCGCGCACTGCACTCTGCTCCCGGCAGCCCGCTTGGCCCCTGCTTCTCTCCAGAAGGTGGCGCTGCTGCCCTTGTCCCAGCAGTTCCTGCCCAGGCTGGAGGTGGCGTACACGCACATTCACACCCACGCATGTGTGTGCACACACGCTCTCTCCGGGGAAGGAGGGGGCAGTGAAACACTCAGTCTGCTCCTACCATCACCAGCCTGAGTTTATAAATAGCAGCAACTCTGCTGTGTACATGTGGGGACAGATATAAATACCTATATAAATTGGAGGCTCAGCTGGGCACACTGGGCTTTATTGGCTGGGACGTGGGGGTGGGGTCTGAGCTTGTTCCAAATGGTGTACAAAAGTGGTGGTGCTATTTCCAGCTTCTTGGTGTCTATAAATCCCTGTTACTGTAGTTACCATGCGTTGAGATGAAATTAGAACTGGTTGTTGTGTTTTTTCCCCCAGACCTTGCAATTTCCCCAGCCTTAAATAGGGTTTCTAAAATTGAAGCTGTCATGATGTCCCATGACCCAGCTAAAAACAACAGCACGGCGCTTACGTGGCTCCTTCCCTGCCAGGCTGGTCGGGCGCCAGGGCTCTGGGGAGCCAGGGCCTGGAGGCCGGCTGGGTGACCGAAGCCTCCTGAAGGCCTCCGAGATGCTCCCTTCCAGCCCCCAGAGTCTGAGCTTTCCTTTTTGACAGCACAACACACGGCCATCTTCTCTGCCCAGAGAAAGGCCCAGATCTGGCTTTTGCTATTCCCCTACTCTCCTGCCACTCAAAACCCTGGCCCCGGTCAGCAGAGGAGCCTGGGGGGCAGAGGGCACCTCCACCTGGATAGCCCTTGCTGTGTGCCTTTAGGCAAGTTCCTTTACCTCTCTGTCCCTCGGTTTTCTCTGTAAGATAAGGGAAGTAGTCTCTGCCGCAGAGGCTCATATGGAGGAAGGACTGAGCTATGTGGAGGGAACTCAGGGAGGCCAGGCCCTGCCCTAGGAGGCCCGGGCAAGGAAGCCACCGACATGGGTCTTGCCCTGCAGTTGCTGCTGGTGCTCCTGATGGGGATGTGGGAGTGGAGGATGGTGGTGCTCACTGCTGGTGGGCACCCTGCCCCGCCCTAATCTGGAATGCCAGGGCCCATCCCTGGCAATCCACTTGCTCCCATTTTGAGCCCTTGAGGTGAGGCAGCTGCCTCCACCCCTCACCTTACAGCCCAGCTGTCTGCCAGTCATGGCCTGGCTACTGTCACTGCTGGACTATAAACCTTAAGTGCACAACTCAGATTTCATTCACCAGTCATTCCTGGGTCTCACGTGGGGTCAGGCACACAGTGGATGCTGGAGAGACACCTGCTGAGCAAATGAAGACACTCACCAAGGCCTGCTCCAATGTGAGCTTGTCCTCGGAGCTTTTCCAGAATTTCTGTCCCCTCCCCAGATCATTCTCCCTTCTGATCCGTCGTGCGGTGGGAGGGCTGCCCTGAGCCTGCGCTGGAGTTCTTGTATCTGTCTCCTCGTGTCTCACTGCCTCACTCCTTGGCCGTTGGCAGAGTTTGTGTTAAAAGAACGGGGGCCTTGACCACTAGGCGGGGGCTTGCCTTCTGCTGGCCGTGGAGCCACCCACAGGTTTGGCCGCAGGGAGGGCCCAACCGTTTTTCGCTCATGACCTTTGGAAGTACCTGCATCATTGTCATCTTTCTGCACCTTTGGAGTGCCCCAGCCTGCTGGGGTGGTGCTCATGTCAGGAGCGTCCTGAGGGGACATCCTGTCCGCCCTCCACTTGCCTCTTGTCTGTCTGTGCTGGGCTCTTTACAGAACACGCCTGAGCCCAGCTGCTCCCGTGGTGCCAGATCCCCCTCCCTGGGTCCCCATTCTCTGCCGCTCCTGGTTCTCCTCTGGGGGCCACCTTGCCCCTCCCGAGTGGGCCCCTGAATCTCTCCCCTCCCATCGCGGCTCTCTGATCCTCACAGATGGGCTTGTCAAGAGGCTTGAGGAGCTGGAGCAGACCGCCGAGCTGTATAAAGGTGGGCAGGTGCACCCTCTGGGTGGGGGGGTGGGGGGGCGGCGATTCCAGTCTGGGAAGTGCCCTGCACTGGCTGTACCCTGGGGTGGAGCTCTAGAGCACAAGGTGGTGACAATGGGGCAGGAATGCCCGCCTACACAGTTCTAGGACCAGGGCTGTTAAAAATTCTTAAGGAAAAAAATCTTAATGCATACTTTTTTGATTATAAAAGTACTTACATGCCCATACAAATCAAATAATGGCATGTGTAGACCTAGTGAGAACCCCCAGAATCACACTGTCCCAGAGGTAAAGCCCAGGGGAGGCTTTGTTCGCCTTCTGCCCCTGGGAAGTCTTGGCTCCCCTGTCTGATGGGGGCTGGTCATGGGTGGGGCCGGGACTGGCCGAGCCTTCAACCCTGGGCCCTAGTGAGGCTATGGGAAAGGTCTGAACCCCAGGAACATTGAGGGCCTTGGGTGGGGTGGGTGGCTGGAGGCTGTGCCCTGGGCCAGCGTGGTCCCCACCGTGTGCCCCCATCTCCCTTGGTTGGGTCTCTCCCACAGGGATGACAGAACACACCAAGAATCTCCTACGGGCCTTTTATGAGCTGTCTCAGACGCACCGGGGTAAGGATGCCCCAAACCTGCTTTGTGACCCTGGAAAAACCCTTGACCCTTTCTGGGCTCAGCACCCACCCACCCCCATACAGTGAGGGTGCAGCCAAGCTCCTCCCCAGGGCCTTTCTCATGCCCATGCTTAGGCAGACACACGGCATCTGACCTCAGGCCAGGTTTGGGCTGCAATGTCTCGGTTTGGGCTGCACATGTCTCAGTGCTGGGTTGTAGCAATAATGGGACCAGTGGGGAGCATCTGGACCAGCTAGTCTCCTGCGGGGCACTGTCACTGGTCTGGGCCCTGTCCCGTCTATCTGTACTGGTGTTTATATGCATAAGGCCCTTCCTTATTCATGATCTCATTTCCTATAAGTTTGTTAGCTGTGCGGGGCAGCTACAGTTCACCCCATTTTACGGTTGAGAAAACAAAGCCCAGACAGAGAAAGTGGTCACGCAGCTCCTTAGGGGCGGGGTTGGCCTTAGGACCAGATTCCCAGCCCAGTGCTTGGCCCTCAGAAGGCTGCACCTCCTCCAGCCTGGGCCCAGCCTTCTCCCATGGTCTGGGCACTTTGGGGAATGAGGGCCAGTTCCCTCGGGTATAGACTCAGCTTTCTTGGGGATTTAGATCCAACACTCAGGGGTATAGACGCCCCTTTCTTGAGATGTAGACCCACCTCCCTAGAGTTGTAGACCTCAGGCAGACCTTGGCCTCCAGCCTGCCACGCCCCTTGCATTGCTTATCCCCAGCAAATCCCTGGCTCCTCCGTTAAGGGGCAAGTAGGGGCTGCCTTCAGGACAAACTTGTCGTGCAGCCTTTGGGGACGTGTTCTCCGTGATCGGGGTGCGGGAGCCCCAGCCAGCTGCGAGTGAGGCTTTCGTGAAGTTTGCCGACGCCCACCGCAGCATCGAGAAGTTTGGCGTCCGGCTGCTGAAAACCATCAAGCCGGTAGGTCATGTCGAGCGTGCGTGTGTCAGCATGTGAGGGTAGAGAGGGGACAGTGTGGCGAGCAGCAAGGGTCCCATTCTGTAGTCGGAGCACCTAGGTGCAGGGTCTGGCATGGTCCCCTACACAGCTGACCGTGGGTTAGTCACTCTGCCCCCTTGGCCTCAGTGTTGCCCTCCAGGCTGGTTTCTGGCCCTGGCTCCACCAGAGCCTCAGCTTGCCCTGGGCCTAGCCTGTCTTCTCATCCTTGAATGGACAGGGCTGTCTGGGAGCACCCTTTGGCTCTGACACTGAGTCCATTAGAAGGATTGACACATCAGGCCATTCCTTGTCACCCTGGCCAGCCTGACCCCCCTGCCCGTGGGGTCCTGAGCATCTGCCCCCCTCCTCCCCTTCCAGATGCTGACAGACCTGAACACGTACCTCAACAAAGCCATCCCAGACACTCGCCTCACCATCAAGAAGTACCTGGACGTGAAGTTTGAGTACCTGGTGAGTGGTCTCCAGCTTCTGGGGTAGGTGGGGTGGTGGGCCCAGCCTGCTGGGGTAAGAACCCACCTGGAGATTTGCCCCTTCTCCGTCAGCTACATGATGGCCAGCAGGACAGGGCCAGAACCTCTGTCACATCTGAGTGAGGATGTGAGACCAGGGGCCTGAGAAGGTGCTGGGGACTCGGGCTCAGAGAAGTCCCTGGGAGCCTGGGGTGGGCAGAGCCCTCACTCTGGACCTCTCTGACCCCATGGGAATTCTTTGGTCACTTTTAACAAGTTAGATTAGGTCAGTGGTTATAAAGTGGGTGCCAAGGAATGCTAATGAGTTTTATGTTCAAATAATAATTCTGTGGTCAAAGGAGTTGAGGAAAAAATACTCCACCAACCAAGCCAAGGTCCTTTGCTTCAGGACTTCTCAGAGCCTTTGATTAGGCCCATGTGCGACCTGGGCCTTCCAGGGCCTTCCCCAACTCTTTGGACCATGGAACCTTTTTTTTCCCAGAGCATCTCTTGGGACTTGAGTGTAGTAAATGCTGGACTGTCTGTCAGGCTCTTTCCACCCTCCTAGATGAGTGTCCTTGTGGCCACCCTGCTGCCCTGAGCCTCCTGAGCAAGGGCCAGTCCGAGTGAGGTGTCTGCCTCTCCCTGATGCGTCTGAGCCCATTCCAGCTGAGGGTACGCAGGGCCCATGAGGCCTGGCATAGCTGCTCCTCTGGGTGACTCAGGGGTACAGCGTGGCATAGGAGGAACTGGGGACATCAGGGTAGGCATCCAGGTGGTGCAGCCACTCTGACAGTGTGGCCTCACCTGTCCCACACAGTCATACTGCCTGAAGGTGAAGGAGATGGACGACGAGGAATACAGCTGCATTGTGAGTGCCACCGGCGGGCAGGGGCGTGGCCCTGGTATTTGAAAGGCTTGGGATATACAGACCTTCCCCTACCAGCCCCAAAAATGTCCTGGGGACACCAGGTGCATAGGATAACCCCCGAAAAGACCTAGGGGGCTTGGCCAGGCTCTTGTTTCTGGAGATGTGGGGCTATCCACCCCCAGCCCCGGCCTCTCTGGGCCTTAGAGTGCTGGCCAGCTTGCTATGGAACCACTCCCACTGCCTGCCCCCAGACCAGCTGCCTCCCCCACTCCCCGACTTTGTGAGGCTCTTGCAGGGAAAAACTGACTCTCTTAACTCCTAAGAGGCACTTTTACTTTTTAACATTTTTGGTATCAGGGTCCATCTATGACTAAATGTTCATTTGTTTAATGCAGCAAGGGGTTAGTGGCTTTTTTGTGTTTTTCACAAAGTTATTATTAAGTGCTTCTAGCAACAGCTGACATCTCAGAAACGGGGAACCATGGGAGCTTTGAAGAGTGCAGTGTGGTGCAGGGGTGTGAGCTTCCTGCCCCCGCCCCCAGCTGCCCCAGAGCAGGCTCCCCGCGCTGCCCCGAGTCCCTGATGTGCTGCTCCCTGCCCCAGGCCCTAGGGGAGCCCCTGTACCGCGTGAGCACAGGCAACTACGAGTACCGCCTGATCCTGCGCTGCCGCCAGGAGGCCCGCGCCCGCTTCTCCCAGATGCGCAAGGATGTGCTGGAGAAGATGGAGCTGCTGGATCAGAAGCACGGTGAGGGGCGCGGCGGGCACTGGGGCCCGTGGGGCACCCTGCCTCAGGCAACCCCTGCATCACCTCAGTATGGTCCGGTAGGAACCATCTTCTCCCCATTTCAGAGCTGGAAAAACCATGGCCCAGAGAGGTACAGTACTTCCCCGAGGTCCCAATACAAGCCCACGGCAGAGCTCTGAGTCGGACCCAAAGTGGAAAACTCTGGCAACAGCTTCCCAAACCCTGGCCTGGGTGGGACTGGCCATGCCCCGTGGGCTCCTTGGGGTGTAGTCCACCATCCCCCCACCCTGGCAGGGCTCCTCCACTCCCTGACCTGGGAGCTGGGAGGCTGGGTTCTGTGTAAGGCCGGGTAGCCCTGGCCTTGCCCCCTCCTGGGGCATGAGGGGAAGTCCGGAGGAGGCAGGCGGGCCCAGGCAAGCATGGAGGGTCTCCTAAACGCGCAGGCAGCCCCAGCCCGCTGACACCTGTCTGCCGCCCTTCTGCCCCAGTCCAGGACATCGTGTTCCAGCTGCAGCGCTTCGTGTCCACCATGTCCAAGTACTACAACGACTGCTACGCAGTGCTGCGTGACGCCGACGTCTTCCCCATCGAGGTGGACCTGGCCCACACCACGCTGGCCTACGGTCTCGGCCAGGACGAGTTCACTGACGGCGAGGACGAGGAGGAAGATGACGATGAGGACACGGCAGCCAGGGAGGCGTCCAGGGATGCGCGAGGGGCTGCTGGGCCCCTGCACAAGGGTGGAAGCTGGTGTGACTCCTGAGTGCCCCCTTAGGGTGCAGCTCTTGGGGGTAGGGTGAGTGGGAGGATGGCAGCATGGGAACGGGGGTGGGGCCGCTGCACAACAGGGTGGCGCATAAAGGCCTGCTGGCTTGGGGCGCCTGCCTCCCTGCTCCTCTGTCCTAGCACAGCGAACCCGGGCTCCTGCCCAGGAAAGGCACTGGGGCCATGGCCTGGGACCTGGACACTGGCCCCCTCCACCTCCCCTTCCCACCTCCCCAGCCAGTTGGAGAGCTTGGTCTTTGGACCTGCCTTAGGAAGGAGAGAGGGCAGAAAGAAAGAGGGGTTGGAAGTGGCAGGAAGTCCAGGGCCCATTCCTCGTGGGCACCTCCACTGGCCCCGGGAGTGGGGGCCGCAGGTGGACAGCCGAGGTTGGGGCCAATGTTTCGTGTACACCCTCACCTCACCCTAGGCTGGCCCCAGTCCAGTCCACACTCACCTTGGCGGCCTTTATTTATTTTATTCCACAGCTCAGCACTTCCCTGGGGAAGGGCTGGGCGCTGGGGCCTGTATTGAATAAACACACACCCACATGGAGCCTGGCTCTTTGCAGTGGCCTCAGACCCTCTCTCCCCTTGACACCCCCTTTTCTGCCACCCTGATCACAAGGGAGGGGGCAACAAGGTTTCCCAATGTTCCTTTTATAGCACTGACTCCTTAGAGCAGCCCTGTGGGTTAGCACTATTGTCCGCATTTACAGATGGGACACTGAGGCTCAGAGAAGAGTCTTGCTCAAGGTCACATGGTGTACAGGGGCAGAGCGGGATGTGGACGCAGATCCGTCATTTTCCCTGCCTCCCAGGCTTCCTGCTCTGTGGGGCCATTTATGTTCTCCCTCATCTTTGATCCTTCAGTGCTTCTGGCCACAGATTAAACCTTTATTTGGTGAAGAGCAGGACAGAGACTGGGTCAGAAGGACCCGAGGCCCCAGACTGGCAAGAGAGTATCCAGGGTGCCCCAGGCCTGTCCTGCCAGGGCCGTGGGGAGGAGCCCAGCAGACGGAGCCTCGCTCGTATTCTGTGTCTTTGCAAAGTGGTAGAAGTAGGGCGGCTGTGTGTCCAGCTTCACCTGCACAGTCCCAGTCCACTCCTGTGGTCCTAGTGTAATTATTAATGGTGGCTGTTTTCACTCTCAAAGTGTCCCTGTTTGGACAATGAATTTTGTGGTCATCCTGAGAATGGGAGGTATACAAGAGGGTGTGAGAGGTGGGCAGGGTCCGAAATGGATTTTGAGTATTCTGTCCTGGGCAGAAACCCAAATGGGATTCTCAGGCAGGACTGGGAGAGCGGAGAGAAGGGTGGGCTGTCACCACGTGGGTTCCCTTTGGGTCGTCGTGAGGATTAGATGCGTTAACATGTGTGCCTGGCACAGGCTGGGGCCAGGCCACCCTCTCGTGCCTCTAAGTCTGGGGACACTTTTCCCTGCCTTCCTCCATCTCTGCTACTTCCTCCACAACACCTGCTGGGTCAGAGGGCCCCGGGGGAGAGCGCCACTCTCTCCTAACCCCCCTCCCCGGGTAGCAGCCGGAGCCACAGCAGAGGCGCAGGAACAGAACCTCTGTCTTTCAGCTCCACTTTATGAACTTTACATTCACACAGGCCCAGGCCTGGTCCATGCACAGCGGGTTCACTGGCAAGACCAGGGCCTGAAGGGCCTGGCCATGGCCTGCTGGGCAAATGAGGGGGGCAGCTTCCCCCCCGGACCTCGGGAGTGACCACCAGAGCAGTCCCCAGTGTGCCAGGCCCTCTTGGGGCAGCGAGGACTCAGAGAGGAAGCCCCACCCCCGAAGTCACTGGCCACCCCACCTAGTGCCCCCGCGCTACACAGACTCAGAGTCCAGCCCCAGCTCTGCCTCCACCTTGGGTTCTGAAGGCCCAGTCCCCGGGCTCGGCACCTCCAGGGTCTCGAGGCCACCAGGCTCCTCAGTGCTGGTGGGCAGGGGCTCAGAGTCCACTTCAGCTTCAGCATCCTCCGTGTCGCTGGCCCCGCCCTCGGTGCCTGGGCTGGGCGAGGCATCCCGAGAGCGGCGCAGGCAACAGTTGGTGGCGACAGCCATGAAGATCCCAGCCAGGGCCACCTCAGAGCCCGCCAGGTAGAAGATGATCTCGTAGTTCTTCAGCGCATCCACCAGGCGGCCTGGTGGGGAGGGCAGATGGAAAGGTAAGGGCTTGTGGGGGACCCCACCGTTCACACACACACACCCCTACCCTCAGATAAAGGGCAGTGCTCTTGAGACTCACTGGTGACATGCCCACACATGCCCCAGTCTTTAATCCCATTTTACAGATGCGAAAACCCATGAGGGTTCCATCATTTGAGACCTTAAAACTTTCACTTCACCTCCCTGACCTCAGCTTCTTAAGTGCTGAGGGGCCTTGGGTGAGGCAACACTTTACAGTTTGTATCTCCACTGGGTCAGGTGAGATGGCAGAGCTTGATGAGGGTACTCAGCCAGCCCTGGAAGGCTGGGCAGCTCACCCGGTCTCAGGTGCAGCCTGGGCCCCAGCAAAGGTGGCCTCCTCCATCCTGCAACCTGACCTCAGCTCTCTCCTGCTCACATACAAGCTTCCTGCTGTTTCAAGGATAACCTGACAACCCAGGAAGACCCTAATGTCCCCCACCCCTGCCTTTCTGAGCCTAGCTCCTGCCTTACTTGTATGGGAACAGTGTCCCCCAAACATACCTTTGTGCCCTCTGCTATGGGATCCTGCCTTGCCCCATGAGGCTGCCTTCACGCCAGCCCCTGCAGGAAGGCCTCCCCAACCACCCTCATCATCATGATTTCCTAAGAGATGATGAGTGCTGGGTGCTCAGCAGACAGTGTGCACAGTACCCCTTCCCCATATGAGCATGATGAGCAGCCCCTAGTCTGCTTCCGGTTCCCCAAAGACACTGTCCCTATTCCAACCACCCTTAGAGGCTGGGGGGACTACAGCACTCAGATGCAGTGTTTCAAAGGTATGAGCTTTGAGCACTGGGCAGTGCCCGCCTCTAATTCTGGGACTGCAACTTGTACTAGGTCTCATGCCTCAGTTTCCCCACCTGCAAAAGGAGAATAAGCAGCTGCACTTCACAGGACCTATGTGCCATCTGCTGGAGAAGACCCTGTGGGCCAGCTGCTTTCCATGTTGGGTTCTTCCTGGCACCTTTCCTGGTTTTTGCATCCTTACCAGAGCTGGTGGTACCGCTTGGAGGAGAGGCTAATTGGCCCTGGGAAGGGGAGTCCACCCAACCCAGTTGTCTTCCCTAAGGAGACAACTTCCCTTCATCCCTGGATGTTGCATCTGGGACAAGGTGAGGACTTCCCTTTCACTTAGGGGCACTAGGCTCTTCACCCTTTCCTCCTGAGAGGCGCACCGGCAGAGGGCGGTCCGATGAGAACAGCCACGGCCTCGAGTAGTAGCACCAGGCCCAGGGCACTGGGGAATCGCGGTGCACCCACGGCTGCCATGAGCACCTCGAACTGCAGCGCGCCCACCATGCCATAGGAGAGGCCGAAGGCGATGCAGAAGGCGACAAGGGCACCGTAGGAGCGCGCGCGCGCGCTGCTCAGGTCTGTGAGCCCATTGGCCATCAGGGCCAGGCTGAAGAGGTAGGCGACATGCGGTCGCAGGCGTGCCAGCCCGGCCAGGGCGCCGCAGGCCGGCCGCGCCACGATGTCTACGAAGCCCACGATGGAGAGCAGGAAGGCAGCCTCGGAGTCAGGCACGCCTGCGTCCTTGGCGTAGTTCACCAACAGGATGGCGGGCACGAAGAGCCCGAGCGCCATCAGGAACTTGGTGACGGCC